CAAGAGAAGAGAGAGCCCCAAGGGCTTAAATGATCAGAAGAAGAAATTTAAGAAGGATATACCCAAATTACATGATGGCGAATCTATAGCACATGTGCCAGAGGTTGCACGCAGAGCCCTCTCTGTGGGCACGTGTGCTGTCACCAGCTGCTCTTCTGGTTTCGGGCACGCCAGTTGGTCTTTGCGGGTGCCAGAGCACCGGAAAACGGCCCTGAAAATGGCCTGAAAATGCCCCCCCAAACAGCCAAAAACCAGACATGTGTATGCTGGCCAGCTGGTCTTCAAGTTTTAAGTGCTCTGGTGCGTGTGCACATGCATGCACCTGCACATACACGTGCGTTCCTGTTTGGACACTTGGTGCCGAAAAGGTTTGCCATCACTGCCCTAATTGATCAGATGGTAGTGGCAGTGGGGAGTTTGTACCTTCAGATTTGCAAGATTCTGTTAATGTGGTCTTAGAGTAATGTACAATTAGCTCATCTATTTTGTGTCTGGTTTACCCAGGAGAGTTGACAATTTCATCCATTCTAGGGACACAGCATCAGGTCTCTTCTTTTCCCTATAAGAAGAGAGAATAGGCTGCTCAGGATATTTAATGGTGAAGTACAGAAGTCACACTTTTACTCAGAATCATTTGTAGAAGTTTTTGCTGGACTGAAGGGTAATATACAGCAAACTACCTGTTTCTCTTAGCCATTCAGACCTGAACTCCAGTGGCTAAAAGTTGTGCCTTGTGGTGTTCTCTGCAACCTGCAGTTCTATTGGCAGCCCTCTGTAGTGGTGTATTACAAAGGTAAAAGGTCTCTATGATGACTAGAAATTGTTTCCATTTCCCGAAACCACTTACATTGTATGTCACAAGTAATAGATTTTTCTCTTACACTTTCTAAACAGAGCATATGTTTTATCTACACTGGTCTTTCAAATGACTTTACATTTGTTTGGAATATTTTATGTCCACATTTCAAGGACCAAATATATGTGGCATTCGTTTATAGTTAAGGGAAGGTTCACCGCATAAAACAATTCTGATGATAATTATTTCCTTACATTGTTCGAAAAGGGAGAACTTTGTCTTACATCAAATGTAATTGATCCTGAAGCAGTGTAATCACAATTACTCACTTTCTTAATTAGCCTGCCCAAAATCAGAAAATGGAAACCGATCGACAGTGTTTAAATCAATAGCTTTGTAGTAAGGCTTGGGAGGGAGATAATGGTAATGGGTAGATCAATTGGTTTAGATGCCATTCATTGACTGTGTGTTTTGCATCACAAAATCTACATTTTTAAAGTAGCCAATATATTGGAGCTAGTATTTCAGGAAAAGGCAAGCTGTATAAAAAAAGTAAAAATTAATACTAACATATTTAGAATTATTTTATTAAGTGGTTCCTTCTATAAATTATGGTAAGAGGAAAAACCTAACAAAGAAAAAAAATGTCTGAAAGTGTTACTTGATAAATGCTATTTTTATTAGACTATGCTTTGAACAAAAATTAATTTCTCCTTAATTAAAGAATCTTAACATGCTTCTTTATTGGAGTTAGAATGTTGCTTGTAATCCATATTCATAATAGTATGGGGTTTTTTTTAAAAAAAACACCTGCCTGTTTTATTTAATTTTCACCACTTGGAGTTTTGGATGATCAGTTGAATAAAATAAGTTACAATATAAAATAATATAATTTATATTTTTGGACTAAGTTATGACCACATTATTTCAGTTTGTGTGAAATCATGTGATAAATTCATCTTATTTATATATTTTATAATAGAATGCAGCATTAAAGTACTATATATTTTCCCAAGCTTTATTAGCGTCATGAATAGTATATAGCAACTTGCTCTGTTAGTCTCTCACTTATAAGTGA